TTCGGGATCTCCAGGCACAGGTCAAGCGCCTGGAGATGGAGAAGGCGATTTTAAAAAAAGCCACCCAGTTCTTCGCGGCGGAAACCAAATGAAGTACGCGTTCATCACGCAGAACCGTGAGGAATTCCCGATCAAGTTGATGTGTGATGTGCTGGATGTCAGCCGCGGAGGCTATTACCACTATCAAGCGAAAGGTGCAGGCGAAGCGTCCCCAGAGCTGGACTCGTTGTTAAGCCTGGTGCGCGAGCTTCACCGGGCCAGTGATCAGAGTTATGGCTCACGGCGCATGAAAAAGGCTTTGGGGTTGTTAGGCCACCCGTTGAGCCGCCAGAAGGCCCGCAAGCTGATGAAACTGGCGGGTGTGAGCGTACGACACCGCAAGAAATTCAAGGTGACCACCAACAGCGCGCACGATCATCCGGTCTACCCAGACTTGGTTAAGCGCCAGTTCTCAGTAGCCCAGCGTGACCGGGTTTACGTCAGCGACATCACCTACATCTGGACCCAGCAGGGTTGGCTGTATCTGGCTGTGGTAATCGATCTGTATTCACGAAAAGTGGTGGGCTGGAGCATGAGTTCGCGCATGAAAGCGCAGCTCGTGTGTGATGCGCTGACGATGGCAATCTGGAACCGCCGACCGCCAGCCGGGCTCATTCATCACTCTGACCGCGGTTCGCAATATGCGGGCAAGAAACTACGCAAGCTACTCAACGCTCATGGCTATCGAGGCAGCATGAGCCGCAAGGGAGATTGCTGGGACAACTCGGTTGCCGAAAGCTTCTTTGGCAGCCTGAAGCAAGAGCGGGTCCAATGGCGAAACTATCAAACTCGCTATGAAGCCCAACAGGATGTTCTGGACTACATCACGATGTTTTACAACAGTCGGCGACTGCATTCGACCATCGGCTACGTCAGTCCCAATGAGTTCGAGAAGCAGTCAATGACGATCAAGAAAGCCGCTTAACTTGCTGTACTAAGAAACTTGACCACGTCACTTTGAACCGTAGTTTGATATACAACAGGCTGTTCTGCGCGACTATAGGGCGCGCGTGATGGGATCGTCATCCCCTCTACTAGTTACAAAGGCTTTCGCCCATCCCAGAGCCCACATAGACACCGGGTCTAGTTGCACCAATGAGGAAGCAGGAAGCCTCATGGAAGTAGGAAACACTTGACGTTCGGCAGCGTCGAGCGCCATCGGGGGCCCGCAGGAACATCCTAAGGGCGTTCTATTGACCTACACAAACCGCGAAAGCGCTGCATTTGAAGATGGATCTTTTGACTAATCAAGGTGCGCAAGATTTCTACAAGACATCACCAACCAAAGCGCTGTGGTCAGAGATTTCCTTAAGAAATGACCGGCGGGCATTTCCGAGTGTCACCAGTCGGCATAATCAGACCAGTCGGTTGTCGGCATATACAGGCCAGTTACATTGCCGAACGTGCCTCTCGTGAGTTAGTTAATCTTCGTCGGGTTTGCGCTTTTTAGCAAGGCTGGTAGGTTGTGCTTTAGGTGCTAACTTTGGCGAACGATATGACTGACCATCCAGGGTCAGGCAGTAGGCGTTGTGACGCAGTCGATCCAGCGTCGCCGATGCCAGCAGTTTGTTTGCCGGGAATGCCTGATCCCATTCGGAGAAGTCCAGGTTGCTGGTGACGATGGTGGCAGTCGATTCGTAGCGCTCGGCGATGAGATCATGGAGATCTTCGTCGGCGGGTGGTCGGAGCGGTTTGAGTCCGAAGTCATCAATGATCATCAGGGGTACGCGCGCCAGCGCAGTCAGCTTACGCTGATAAGCGCCGTTAGCGCGCGCCGCATTGAGTATGGTGGTTAGCTGGGTGCAGGTGTTGAACACCACATCAACGCCTTGGCGAATAGCGCACTGGCCCAGCGCCTGAGCTAAATGAGACTTGCCAGTGCCGCTGGGACCCACGATCAGAATGGGGGCCGCCTCGCTCAGGTAGCGCCCGGCGGCTAAGTCGTTGATGAGCGTTCGGTTCAGTTGAGGCAGCCGGTCGAAGTCGAATTGCTCCAGCGTCTTGGTGGTGCGGAAGTTGGCGCGGCGCTGGCGCAGGCTGAACTTGCGTTGTTCGCGCCGAGCCACCTCATCGCCGATGAGTAAGGCCAGGAAGTCGGTGTAGGGCATCTTCGCTTCGATGGCTTGGCGATTGCGCGCCTCGATCGAGTCGAGCATGCCCGATAGGCGTAACTGCTTCAGTTGCGGGGTGAGTTCTGGAATAGGGTTCATAGCAATGGTTTTATCCTTGATCAGTGCAGCCGGCCGGGCTGCTCGGTAAACAGGTCATCGGCGTCGCGCGCAAAGCGCGCTTTGCTGGCGTAAGGTTCGTCTGTCAATTCGGTGACCGGGAGCCGGTCGAAGTTGCCCGCCAGGATGCTCTTGACGGTGCGGTAGTACAGCGAGTCATGGGCCAGGGCTCGGGCGCAAGCGGCGTCCAGGCGTTGCGGGCCATACGTTCTGCCCAAGCGCAAGATGTTCTGCACGGTTCGCAACTTCTCCAGAATTCGATCGTCTAGTAACTGACTAGCCAGACGCTGGCAGGCCGGTCCGACGCGTTTGGCCTGCTCCAGGCAGTACTGCCGATCGTGCGTGAGGAAGGCTGCCGCGTTGGGCGGCAAATGATCTCGAACGGTCACCCGCTCACCGCGACGCTTGGGCCGTGGATGCGTGTGTATATGTTGATGAGCGTGATACAAGGCCACTGAGCAATCAGTGGCGCGCAGCCACAATCGTTCTCCAACCAGCGCGAATGGAGCGGAGTACAAACGTCGATCAAACTGCAGGTGGCAGTCGCGCTGCACCTTGGCCCGGTGCCAACTGCCCAGGTCGGGCGCGATCAGTGGCAAGCTGTTCAGGCTGTCGCGCTCCAACGCGAACAATGCCAGTGGCCGCTGGCGCGTGGTGCCGTGATTACGCTGGCCGGCATCGTTCATCACCCAGTGGCGCACCTGCTCATTCAAATCGGTGAGGTGACGGAATTGGCGCAGCGGCAGGAAGTTGCGTTTGACATACTTCACCCCCGCCTCAACGATGCCCTTCTTCTGCGGGTCATAGGGCGGACACGGATCGATCTTGAAGCCATAGCCCAACGCGCACTCACCATAAGCGCGTTGAACCAGCGGGTCGTTGGCGCAGGCCTTGGTGATGGCGCACTTGGCGTTATCAATGATCACACGCCGGGGCACCCCGTTAAACCACTCAAAGGCGCGGCGGTGACACCCCAGCCAGGTGGGCACGCTCTGGTCCCAAACAAACTCAACGTACTGATGCCGGCTAAAGCACAGCGTCATCACGAACGCCCAGGTGCGCCGCTCGACACCGTCGGCGTCCATCATCATCGGACCAGCACCGAAATCAACTTGGACGGCATCGCCCGGGTCGAAGTGAAGGCGAACCGTGGGCTCAGGCCGCTGCGCGCCCCGGATCGATTGCGACAGGCGGGCCACCGAGGAATAGCTGCCCGTGAAGCCGTGGTTGCGGCACAGTGCACCATGAATGGCCGTGCCCGAAACACCTTGTTCGAGCCACTCGGTGACCAATTTACGCCACGGCTCGGCGTTGCTAATCGTGCTTGCCGAGGGCTTGTGCTGGCCCAACACCCTTGCAATATCTGTTTCCTCGGGCAAGGGCTGGTCCATCTTGAGCCAACCCTGAGCGCGAGCTACCTCACGCACGACGGTAGCCTTGTCCCGGCCCACCAACCCCGAGCGCGCTATCGCGCGCACGGTCTCGCCGGCGCGCAGGCGTGCCAGGACTTCTCTGTACTTGAACATCTCAATCCTTCGTCGAGGCACCGGGCGCTCCTACAGGCAAAAAGAGCCCGCACGATAGCCGGTGCTGATGATCAGAAAGAGAGGTTCGTTCGACCCTGGGGTGGCCGGTATATGCCGATAATGCCTGGCCTGTAAATGCCGACAATCCAGCCTACTTGCGCCAACTCAGGTGGCCTGTATATGCCGATTACCCGGTGGCCTGATTATGCCGATAGGTGACATCCGAGCAAATTTACCCATCCATCCACTTCAATTTCGAACTGACTGATATCGTTGTCTAACGTGAATTGACCAAACCTCAAGTCATTACTGGCGAGAACGTGGTCAAGGTCACTCGTTTTGGTATTGGTCTTATTACTCCAGGTCCTAGGGTGAGATTTACTGAGCACACGCAATTGGACACGCTCTGCTTCACGTCTAAGAGCCTTTATTTCCGCGGCAGCAGTAATAGTGGCCAATTTGTCGGTCCTGGCTCGGCCCATCGTATTCAGATCACCAAGGGCAATGAAACGGGGCTGACCAGCCTGAATCGGTAACTGAGCCAGCGTGCGTTGAAGCGAGAATATTTTGCCGATCATCGCTTGTCGGTTTTTGTAGTCCGTCTGCGCCTTACCACTATCTATGTGCAGGAACAGAAAGTTCTCAAATCGAGACTGCCCCGTTTGCCGGGCACTTAGCAGTCCTCCCGGACGCAGGTTGACGTTGCCGACTTGAAGATCGCGTCGTTGCGTGTAGATCACTTGATCAAACTTTCCCCGCCGCCATCCAACCAGGATATCCAGAGCCACTTTGCTATCTGTCATTCCAAAGTCATACTTTGGATAGAAATCGGTGATGAGCTTACGCGCAGCATCTTTTGCCCGAAACTCAAGAATGCCGAAGATGTCAGGATCATGTCGATCAATCAGTTCAGCAACCCGTCGTGTTCTAGACGCGCTCTCATCCGTGTACTGGCGCACATTCCATACTAAGAATCGGTAGCCCACTGCATTCGTCTCCTGGTCCTTCTCTCACTGAACCTTAGCCGTAACGCCTGCACTATTGGGCACTGATTTATCGCCAATTCTAGGTAGACCGACGCAAGCGCCAGGCACTAGTTCGCAATAGGCCAGCCCCTAACGGATTCGCAAAACGCTGAAATAGCTCGCAAAGGATGAGCGGCAGAGCTCTTTCATTTGAGATCTGGCCCTCATTCGATTGACTTGGCGTTGAGCTTCGGTCCTCGCAAACCAGGAAATCCACTATATTTGTGTGCACTCACGCATTCAACTTGGGCTAAGCTTATTTAACTTAACCGTGTAAGAAGGGAAGTTCAATGACATCGAAAGATCAGCTTATCGATACCATCACCGGCGGGCTGACCCTAACCAGATGTGCTTGCACGCTGCTTGAGAAACTGGCGCGGATGATAGGAGAGTGATTATGAGCAAGCTTGATTGCGCGACGACAGCTGCTGTCCTCGAGGCGATCGCCTGGCCGCTACTCGTTCTCTTCGGCCTACTCTTGCTCAAAGAGCCAATCAGCAAATTCCTGACTGAGATCGGAAGTCGTGTTTCGAAGCTATCCACCCCGTTCGTGAGCGTAGAACTGACGCGCGCTTTAGAATTCGCACCCGCGTGGACGATGGGCGATCAAGATTTGCGAAGTCTAACGCGCGCATCCATATTCGACAGTGGCTCGGAGTCTCTGGTTGGCGAACTATCCAAAGGCCGCGGCGCCGACTACGCCGTTATCGACCTTGGAACAGGTCGAAAGTGGCTCACCTCCCGTCTCTACCTCTTTGCCGCAATGCTTGGACCAATATCCGAGGTAAAGCAATTCGTTTTCGTTGCGTGTCAAGGCAATACAACGCAGAAATTCATCGGGTTGGCGTCCCTTGACCAAGTCAAACAATCGCTCGCACAAGCATATCCGTGGCTAGA